AAAAAAAAAAAAGAAATGGGCTAGTCAGGCTCAGGGTCTATAGCACAGTGGTTATGGCGCCAACCATATACACAAAGGCAGCGGATTCAAACTCAGCCTAGGCCAGCTAAACAACGATGACATCTGCAACAAAAAGACCTCAAGCATTGTGGAAGGTGCCTGTAGTCCCAGCTACTTGGGAGGGTGAGGCAAGATAATCACTTAAGCCCAAGAGTTGGAGGTTGCTGTGAGCTGTGACGCCATAGCACTTTACCAAGGGTGACATACTGACTCTGTCTCAAAAAAAAAAAAAAAAATAGAAAGAAAGAAATGGGCTAGTTAGAAGGACCTGTTACTACATGAACAGGAATAGTCTAGGACCATAATATGCTGGTTGTGGAGACTGAGCAACAGACAAAGCCCTGCCCTCTCAAACATATTCTTTACTGGGGAGAAAAAGCAGCATCTGCCAGCATAGGGCATGGCACAGAGGGGTGCTGGCCCGGGTCAAGTATGCAGGTGGGCAGGAGCCGTGCTGTGAGCTGCATCTGCTCAGGTGGTCAGGAAGTAATGTGTGAGAAGACCTGAAGGACAAAGGATCCAGCACCATGACTCCTAGGTACAGCACAGAGGATGGCCATGCCATTTGGTGAGGACAGAGAGCTGCAGGGTCAGGGGCTTAGTCTATACTACAAAGACCCAGAGGGTAGCACACGGATATTAACGAGAGAGGTGAATACCCCAACAGGTCAGGGGACACTGGGGAAACTATGGAAAGCCATTGGGAAGTACTAACAGTGGGGTCAGACACCTGACCAGGCCTGGTCCTGTGTGGAGGTGGGTGTGAGAGAGGGACAAAAGCCCACGACAGGTGGCATCTGTAAGCAGGGAAGGAGCAGCTTAGGGTCAAAGGCTAGACTGGAAACTGGAAATCGAGTCTGGAATGCAGGGACAAGGTCAGGGCTGGAGATGCCGAGGGAGCAGTCAGTATTGAGGGCAAGAGAGCAAGGGGAAAGGGAAGACAAAGGGCAGGCCACCATGCCAAAGTGCCAGGGGTCAGAGAACACCCCCCAATAGGCCAGGCCCAGTACCATCCCCTATCCCATTTACAGAAGGAGAGATGGAAGCCCCAAGAATCTGATGGGTCAAACAAACCCATAGAGGCAGTTTCCAGAAAGAACACCCGGTGACACGCAGGAGTGGCAGGGAGAGCTGTGCCAAAAGGCCTCAAGGAGACAGAGTGGGAGGGGCCAGTGAAAGAGATGACAGGAACAGCAGAGGGGATAGCGGGCATCCAGGCTCCCCAGAGAAGGAGGAAGGGGAATGCACCTCAGCTGGGTGCCCAAGAGAACAGGTGGTTTTTGAGCTAGATTCTATACCAGGACTCAAGTCTCAGGTGACAGTCCTCTGAAATCACAGCCCTGCTTTCCCACAGGCCAAGCCCCATTCCCACAATGAAGGAGATACCTTATTGGGCAGTCTTGCACCTGTCCTCCCTTCCTAACACCACTATCCTCCTCCACATATGACACTCCCAGTGGGACAGGAAGCCCCGAGGAAGCAGAGATAGCTGAATGCTGACCTGGTGCAGGAGACACCCACTTTCCCAGCATGGCCCAGGTCCAGGAGGCCTCTGGCCAGGTTCTCTTTGGCAATGGGGCATTCTGCACTGGGTGCCAATGCCCTCAGGCGGTCATTCATGTCCACACAGCAGGGCGCAGCAGGAAAAGCCCTCATCTGGCGCCTCAGTTTCTTCCGGGCTGTGACAGCTTCCCTCCACCTGGGGAACACACTAACATATTATCACTGGGTATTGTCAGAGTTCACCCCAGAAGACAAATACATGAACATGCCCCAGCACCGTAACTCAGGAAACACATTTGTCAGCTTTACGTTTAGGTCTTTTCCAGCAACTCTTCACACTGAGAAACAAATCAGAATTAAGACTCAGGCAAAGGGAAGGCACGATGTCAAAAGAGTATGGTGAGCAATGAAGAATAGCCAATGGTTTATGCAGGCCAGTCTGGCAACTCAGGTACCAATCTAAGACACAAATACCCCTTGACCCAGCAACCACCACAAAGGAACATCTCTCCACATGCATGTGCCTGTGAGTAGACATGGGAAATGTGTATACAAGAAAGGTCACTGTAGCACTGTCACAGCTAAAGAAAGAAAGCCATGTAGGAACCAGGGAAGTCACTTCTCACTTCTGGCAGGGAGCACTGGTCATGCTGCCATGGTCAGGTGTTCACCTTGTATCAGACAGAGCAAGAGACTCAGACAAAGTAAGAGAAATGCTCCACGTGTGTGCACCACCACAAAAAAGGACAGTGTGTGGCTGGTGCATAGGTAGCTGCTGCTTCTGAGGAATGGATGGGGCCTGCTGTGTGTGTGGGGGCGCGGGGGGGGTTACTTCTCACCGTACTCCCTTTTATTATTTGTAGAGGTGGGAGTCTATGTTACCCAGGCTCTAACTCCTGGATCCTCCTGCCTCGGCTTCTCAGAGTGCTGGGATTACAAGCATGAGCTACTGCACCTGATCTGTGTTCCCTTTTATACTATAGCAATTGTGAAGTACACTATTGCTTATTTTAAATTTTACTATAACATGAAACACACAACCATAGCCCAGTTTAAACATCAATGATATGTGAGACGCTGTGTACTTCCACCCAACTGAGAGGCCTTGGCCATGACCATGCCCCTCCCATTCCTGAAAGGAACCACTATGCTCAGTTGATCATTTTTCTTCTTTTCTTAGAGTTATACTATTATCTACAAATCCCAAATAATGTATAATATAGAAGCTCTGTAAATTGATCACCCAGGGACTGTGACACATTGGTCAGCATATGGAGGTGGTCACCCACTGTACTGACTATACTTATGTACTACGAACATCAGGACAATATAAAAATGTGGTCAGTGTAGGGACTTGGTCAGCTATGAGGTTCTACGGTTCTACTGTGTCTGTCTGAATATAAGCTACTTGTGTGTTTAATGAATGCTTTTTCCCCCTCATTTCATGTTCTGGAAAATCATCTACATTACTAAATGCAGCCTGAATGGGGCTGTGCCCAGCTACCTCCCTGTGTCTAGTACAGGGGCAAACAGTAGGCACCTCATACAATTTGCTGAAATATAGAACAGCAGCCACCCCAATCCAATCCCTTCCTCACCCCTTTGTTTTGTACTGTTTAGGAAGAAGTGTGTGTGTGTGTGTGTGTGTGTGTGTGCACACGCGCATACGCGCGATTGATGGATTCTGAATGAACAATCCAGAGTTGAGTCTGTTAGAGGGATTCATTGCTATAAATTGTTCCTAATCACTAGCAAAGGAACTGATAGCTTGTCCATTTTGACTGTGGTAACAGACTCTTTCCTGTATGTGAATTCTTCCTGTGAGAACATAGGACTCACCGCTGTAGATACTTGCAGAAGCACTGGAGCTCCTGGAAGGTCTCCTTTGTAGTCTGGAAAATTTCTTCCAAGAGAAACAAGTCCACCAGGTGGGCACAGACGTCCTCACAGCAGCGGGCCATGCGGACTCTCTGGTCTGTCTCCAGTGCCTTCCTAGGGAACAGGGCAGTCACTGTGGCAGGCACCACCTGGGGCCCACAGAGAGAAACTTTGGCAACACAAGAGTCTGTACCCTTAGTGTAATTACAGCTTCACTGCAAGAGAAGCTTGATACAATTTCATTTTTACTTCAACTATAGATACCTGGGTAAAAAAAAGGGGAAAAGAACAAAAGCGGTACAGGTTCCTGATTAAAGATCCAAAGAGGCCCATAAAATAGTCAAGAAATAAACTTTTATCTCAACAAAACAGAATGTTTAACTAATTGTCTATTAGTGAGACAAGACCTCATGGTGTCATCCAGGCTGCAGTCCAGTGGCATTTACATGCATGATCACAGCACAACACAGCCTCTGATGTCTGGCTTCACACAATCCTCCCACTTTAGCCTCCCAAGGACCTGGGACCACAGGCAGAAAACCACTCTGCCTACTTAGAAATTTAGTTTTTAAATGACCATTGAGAGAACTGCAAAATCTTCTCATCAGTATCTGACATTTGCAGTTAGAAGTGTATCAAGTACAAAATAAGTAGCAGTGGCTAACAAGCATGGGTACCGATAGTCACACAGTGGTGGCCCTGGGACAAAGCAGTATCTCAAAGAGAAGATTTTATAATAAAATTCTATCAATTGGCCAGGCATGGTGGCTCATGGCTAAAATCTCAGCACTGTGAGAGGCCAACATGGGTTGATCATTTGAGCTCCTGAGTTTGAGACCAGCCTGAGCAAAAGACCCTATCTCTACTAAAAATAGGAAAACTGAGGTAAAAAAATCACATGAACCCAAGAGTTGGAGGCTTCTGTGAGCCATGATGATGCCACTGCACTCTACCCAGGGTGAAAGAGACATGAAATAATAAGAAATGAAATGAGGCTCAGCGCTGCACATGTAGCACAGTGGTTATGGCGCCAGCCATGTACACTAAAGTTGGCAGGTTTGAACCCAGCCTAGGCCAGCTAAAACAACAATTTGACAACTGTGACAAAAAATAGCCAGGCATTGTGGCAGGCACCTGTAGTCCCAGCTACTTGGAAAGCTAGGCAAGAGAACTGCTTAAGCCCAAGAGTTGGAGGTTGCTGTGAGCTGTGACGCCATGGCACTCTACCAAAGGTGACATAGTGAGACTCTGTCTCCAAAAAAAAAAAAGAAATTAAATTAAAAATAAAATAAAATTCTATCAACCAAGGGAACACAAAGGACTATATTAAATTTACTTAGTCACAAAACCAAAGTAGCCTAAGCGGGAAGACAAATTTCTAGTAGCCCGACCTCAGCGCTGGCCATAACCTGGGACAGAGCTGAACCAAGCATCCCAGCTCTGCACGTACTTCAACTCCTGGGCACAGACGTCCCTTACACACTCTGTCACTGTGAGCTCCACCAGTTCTGCAGCCAGACCCTGGCTCAGTTGTGCTAACACCAGTTCTCTCTCTTGTTTCAACCTACAGGTAAGAGAAAAAACATACAAAGGCAATGTTTAAGTATAAAAGTAAGTGAGAGACCATGCAGGTAAGAACATCCCTGCTAGACACAACCTTCTTCCCTGCCCAGCCTCACTGAAGACTCTGCGCGCTCCCCGGGGCCAAGTGTGTGAGTATGCAGTGTAGGCTTGGCAGGGATCTGAGAGCAGCACCATAGACAATGGTAGGGGCATCACGGGCCATCCTGTGCCCACACACAGCCCCAGCCTGTTCACCTTTCCTCTTCAGCATGCCGTCGCTCTTCCTCTCGCCGCTCCCTTTCCTTAGTCACCTCTTCAGCTGCAACATGCCTCAAGATGCCCATGGTTGCAGCTGCTAACAGATCCTCCACAGCAGCATCTGAAACTCTAGAGCAAAATGGACAGCATGCAAAATCAGAGAAAAGCCTATGTGCACACAGATACACAACAGAGTACTATTCAGTCATAAAAGGAATAAAATTCTGACAATGCAGCTGAACCTCGAAGATGTTTGCTAAGTGAAATAAGCCAGACACAAAAGGACTGGTGCTGCATGACCCCACTTACGTTGAGTTACCTAGAAGAGGCTGATTCCTAGAAACAGAACTAGGTAACCAGGGACAGGGGAATGGAGAATTATTGTTAATGGGTATTGAGTTTCTATTTAGAATGCTGGAAAAGTTCTGGAAGTAGACTGTGATAACAGATACACCACATAGTGAATGTGCTTAATGCCTCTGAATTATAAACCTAAAAATGGCTAAAATGATAAATTTTGTTAGTTTTTTTTTTTTTTGAGATAGAGTTTCATTATGTCGCCCTCGGCAGAGTGCCGTGGCGTCACAGCTCACAGCAACCTCCAACTCTTGGGCTTAAGAGATTCTCCTGCCTCATCCTCCCAAGTAGCTGGGGCTACAGGCGCCTGCCATGATGCCTAGCTATTTTTTTATTATAGTTGTCATTGTTGTTTGGCAGGCCTGGGCCGGGTTCAAACCCACCAGCCCTGATGTATATGACTCACGTCCTAGCTGCTGAGCTACGGGTGTTGAGCCTGCTAGGTATATTTTATCACAGTTAAAAAAAAAGGCAGCCCAGGGAAATACTTCTTTTTAGCTCCATCAAATAGAAAATAGGTGTCTAACTATAACTATAGATGAAGAAAAATGAATCAAACCTATGTACAAGGCTGGTCCTTCTGTGTAATGTATATTTTATTGGATTTTACAGGTTCTTTGTATTTTTCTTAGTTTTTTAAAAATTTTTTATGTATACTCTATATTTTATATAAGCAAAATATTAATTATACCTTTTCTCTTCACTGTGCCACTTCATGTGTATTAGGATTTTTAAAAAGATTCTGGAAATGCTCAAGAAAATTGGATTTACTTGGCTGAGTGCAATGGCTCACTCCTATGTGATCCCAGCACTCTAGGAGGCTGAGGTGGGTGGATTGCTTGAGCTCAGGAGCTTGAGACCAGCCTGAACAAGAATGAAACCCCATCTCTACTAAAAATAGAAAAACTAGCCAGGTAGTGTAGCAAGTGCCTATAGTCCCAGCAACTTGGGAGGCTGAGGTGGGAAGATTGCTAGATGCCAGGAAGTAAGGTTGCTATGAGCTAGATTGAGGAAAAAATAAATTGGATTTACTAAATTATTTCAATTAGCTTTATAAAAGTTGCATAAGAGCGTAGAAAGATTTTGATTATTAAATTTGAAGACTAGATCAAGCAGATGTTTTTAACTTTTAGTAGAAAATGAGCTAACTTTAATTATTATTGAGTTATGTTTAAAGAAAAAGTTTTTTTTTATTTGTAAACTTTAATAAACCACATTATGCATTCTTGGAGGCCAAGATGGGTGGATTGCTTGAGGTCATGAGTTTCAAGATCAGCCTGAGCATGAGCAAGACCTCATCTCTTGCTCTGCTAATGTGGCAGGTGCCTATAGTCCCAGCTACTCGGGAGGCTGAGGCAAGAGGATCACTTGAGCCCAAGAGTTTGAGGTTACAGTAAGCTATGATGCCATGGCACTCTACTGAGGGTGACAAAGTGAGACTGTCTCTAAATAAATAAATAAATAAAAATAAAATAAAACCACACAATGGCCAAAAGGCATACACAGATGGAAATTCCACGCCTGTGAGAGATAGGAGGGGCAGATGCACAGCCAACCCACCTGGACAGCAGGGCCAGAGCTTGGACTGGGCTGCAGAAGTCCCAACACAGACACTGGGAGTGTTAAGTGGGACCAATGGGTAGCTGCAGCCACTGGTTGAAGAGTGAGAGCAGCTTCCCAGGAGCCCCATGCCACTCACCCGAGAGCCGCGGCTGCATAGGCAGCTCCTGCAGAGCCGACCTCCTCGCAGTCCCCCTGTAGGGCCTCCTGGATGAGCTCATCCACCACCTGTGCCAGGTCCTAGGAGAGACCAGCATGAGCTCCAGAGGGACGCCCCTTAGGGCCAAGAGACATCTGAGGCACCTCGCAAGAACAGTGCTTGATCCTTGACCCAAGAAAGGGGCCTTCTGCAGGGATAGAGCCAGTATGCTATGGCCCCACCAGTGCCCTGGGGCCTGTCTTCTTTGTCTGTATCAAACATCCTTAAGTTTTGTGGCCATTCTGTGCTCCCCAGGGATGCTCTGATTCTGCCCTAGCAGCTGGTCCCACAGCCATACTATGGACAGGCCCTGCTTGACCCTAGCTTACCCCCTTAGCAGTCATGCGATGCTGCCTGTGAGCCCAAAGGTCAGCTTGTGCACTGGCCACTTGGAAGGAGCAGGTGTGAGGCCAGCAAGGCAGATGCACAGGGCTCAGGCTGGTTTCTGAAGGGAAGGCTGACATGCTGCTGAGTAATGACTAGCTGACAGGTGCTACGTCAGCCTGGGGTGGCCGAGTCACTGTGGGCAGATCCCCCCCTCACCTTTCTGGCCCCTCTCCTTGGAGACTAGGCCACACGGCCCCACCTCATGGAGAGTGGAGCCGAGGAGCCGAGAAGGTTCCCTACCGCATCAGAGTACACGGGCACAGGCTCCACGTGCAGCAGCTCAGGCTGTGTGCTGGGCTGGAAGAGGCTAGATGCCACAGGCGGGGCCGGGGCCAGGGCTGGAGGTAGAGGTGCTGTTGAGGGCACAGGGACAGGGAGGGGCTGGGAAAGAGGCCCGGGCAGGGGTGCACCCAGCTCAGCACCATCATCTTCTCTCTCGCCACCTGGAAGGAGAGACACAGGAAGGAAAATGGCTGCAGACAGTGACTCTGATGACTGGCCAGCCCTCTCTGAGGAGACCACGGCAGGATACCTCCTGCGGGCAGCCCTATGGGACACACGCGTCTTATCCATCCATTCCCAGTGAGTCATAGCCCTGGGCCCCAAAGTAGACACTCTAGTCACCAAAGTGTCCCCAGTAGAGAGCAGAGCCACACTCACCTGCTACATCTGGGCAGGGTCTCTGAGAGCCAACAGGCAGCTCCGTGGCAAGGCTCTCCCCAACATACTTGTTCTGGGAGTTGAAGCTGCACACGGGGGTATGATGAGGGATGGGGGGCAAAGGCCCCCCGTTCACAATCTCCCCAATTGATACCACTAGCTTCTTGGTAATGAGCACCGACTTCCTGGCTTTGGACAGGCCCTCTGGCTCCAGGAATGCAGAGCGGTTCAGCTCAACACAGCTGCACATACCACAGAGAACCCAGAGCAATTAGGAACAAGGCTTCACCTGAGTGCCCCACTATCCACCCAAGCCCCTTGGGTGAAAAGCACAAACCCCATGTCCCCAAGGGTCAAATGTAAATGAGCAAGAAAGCAAAGACTTAGTTACCAGGCTGCTGTCCCTGGGGTCTCACTATGACCATGGGACCTCCCAGCTTTCATGTCAGCAGCCATAAGTGGAGTGACGCACACCTGCGCCCTCGTGTTGCCACCATGTTGGCTGAGGACAGAACTGGAGAGGCAACAGGCAGGGCAGGCGCTATGGGGCGGGACACCTAACACAGATGCTGTCTGATGGGGCCACTTTCTGGGACAAGGCCTGTGAGTTCTACCATGACTAGAGACACTGACAGCTGAGCACAACGGAAGACCCTGGCCTGGCCATCTGGTGCAAAGGCAACCTTCAAGGGACAAAATGAGGCAGGTCCTAACCTTTATTTTTAGGTTCTTTGGTAACTCATGAAAAGCACTGTGGAGTCACAAGAAACAGTCTGAAAAGCAACCTGCTGACAACCAGCACAGACCTTGGGAATGCCGCCTGGGCATTCCCAACCTCCGTCTGCTCACCTGATGCCAGGGAGGCAGCCAAGATATGCACCTCTCCAGGGCCAGACAAGCCCTTAGCCCCGTGTAGCCTTTTGTCAGAATCAAAAAGAACAAAACGAAAAAGAGGCCAGCACGCCCAGTGTTCTCACCCATCAGAGACAGTGAGGCCGTGGCAGCTGAGGAAGTCTGTCGCCTCCTCACAGTCTTGGAACAGAAGCATGCGGACCACCCCATCCAGCGGGAAGACAGTAGATCGCTGAGTGCTCACAGTGTACGCAACATTAAGTGCCCGGAGAGCATCCTTGCGGATCTGAAAGGGGAACCAAAGTCACTGCAGCCTCAGGAGATGCCTAGTCAGGTGAGGCCATCACCCAGCCATAGACACAGAAGAGCCAGCAGGGAGCCCCATGTCAGAGATGCCCAGGACTGTGTAACAAGCACAGTCTCACAGACAAGGATGGGCTGTGAAGTTTTCACTTATAAGAAAAATTGGACAGTCCATCAAGGACATGGGAAGTAAACTACATGGCACCCACTCACAAACCCCATACATGTGCTCAAAGCTGGCACAGGGACCAGATTAAGCATGTCAGGTGGAGACAACATTGTTTTGTAGCATTATAGCAAGTACTGTAAAAAAGGAAGACAAAAGGAAAACAGGAAAATGCTAACAGAAATTATCGCTGGTGCTGGGACTCAGGGTGACTCCTACTAGTCCTTGTGCCACACTCTTCTCTACAGCCTGGACTGTTCTTCAGGCTGAGTCCAAGTCACCAAAACAAATAAAATCTGTCCCCACGTAGCTGATACACTAACACGGGAACCAGTCCTACAGAAAATGAACATGCAGCTGAGAAGGTACCAGCTGAGCTGGGCAAGGCAATGCAAATCTGCAGGGAATAGCAGTTGGAGCCCAGAGCCCTAGGGACCCTGTGAGTGGGCCTGCAGATGGCATTTGAGCAAGGTGGGTCACCAGTAGTAAAAACACTGCTTTTTCTAAAGCAAAACACTTGGGTTTATCTTTTGTTTAAAGTGATTACATATGGTAACACTCTGGTAACATTAAATTATCATTTGTAAATTTTATCTGAGTTTTATTTAACAAGTACACAGAGCTCCCCACATGAGAGGTTGTAAGAAATGTCTTTTGTTCCAATATTTTGGTTCTATTGGCACCTTCAGATCTGACAAGGACAAATCTGTAAGAGATGCTTTGCCTGGGACAAACTATGGATTCTGTGTCTGTTTACAGAAGGATGTGGTATGTGGCCTTGGAAGAGACACAGCAAGCTGGGCACAGGTGAGGGCACAGTCCACAAGGCCAGCAGCAGTGCCAGAGGCATCTTACTGTGCTGAGGGGCCCAGAGCAGCAGGTTTCACATGGCTGCCCAGTTTGAATGTCAGTCCAAACCTCACTGTGTGGCTGGAATTAAAGAACTAACTTTGGATGTTAGAGATTTTACACACCATGCACAACCCAGGTAAGGGGCAGGTCTTTCCACTGCCTGAGACCCCAGCGCACAGCCCAGATGGGGCAAAGATCAGACACTTCAGTATGTATTGAAATGAAGGTGATACGGTCAGGCTCACTCCAAAACTTCATATTAAATACACTAAGAATCTAAATGCTAGGCACTTTGTGAGCATGTTGTGGGATTGTTGCCTTTTGGTTTTTTGCTTTCATAGAATATGATGCTGCTGGATTTTTTAACTAGTTTGAAAATAGTTCTTAAAAAGATTTATCTGAACTATAAGACAGTGTTCCAGTGTACAGCCTCTTCTGGGTGATCAATGTTGCCAACCCCTTTAACATAAAACAGGGACACTGGTCACACCTCCTGGGGTTGCCACAAGGACTATGTAGGAGTTAGCCGACAAGGCACTTGGCAAGGTTCCTGCAATAGACACACTTAAATATCACAAGTAATAACCAGCTTTCTTCCAATTCTGCAAATAGTTATATTACTCACCTGATTAAAGTAACAATGTAAAAGACAAGCATTCAGGTAAGAAGCTGATTGGACCAGTTTGAAAAATCTCACAAAATTATTACTGTTCAATGCAGCAAAAGCTTGAACAGCAAATTTCACCTCAGAGGAGTTTCTTACAGTAGGATGGAACTGTTGTACTTCTCTGTTAATTAAAGAAAAGAAGTTAGAATGTCATTTTCTTTCTTTCTTTCTTTCTTTTTTTTTTTTTTTGAGACAGAGTCTCAAGCTGTTACCATGGGTAGGCTGTCCTGGCATCACAGCTCACAGAAACCTCAAACTCCTGGGCTTAAGCTATTCTCCTCCAAAGCAGCTGGGACTACAAGCACCCTGCCAGAACACCTGGCCATTTTTTTTTTTTGAATTGTAGTTGTCGTTGTTTGGTAGGCCTAGGCTGGATTCGAACCCACTAGCTCCAGTGTATATGGCTGGCACACTAGCCGCTTGAGCTATACGCGCTGAGCCTACATATTATTTTTAATTAGACAAAATTTCCATGGAGATAGATATAATAACTAACTAGATTTCAGATGTGCTCTTGCCTGTAATCCCAGCACTTTGGG